GCCCCATAATCAATGGCCTAATGGTGGAAATACCAATGTTCTGTCTCTGTGATGTAAGAGTTCTGAAATTGGCTCTGACAGCCTGTCTGTCAGGCCAACAGCTCTCCTCCTCTCCTTGAGAAAAAGCTTCATCAGCGTGCGTCACTGTATCTGTGCGTGCATGGTGGTGGAAGAAGTCGGCACACCGAGGGAAGATTTCAGATTTTTATGGTGAGAACATGCTGTGAAAAAAAGGAGCAAGGCAAGAACACTTGCATGTACACATGCATAACAGAGAGTCCATCAGGTACAAATTAACATCACTGGCTGCTGCATATTTTTATTGAACACATTTCCTGCGAGAAATTGCTTCGACTGTTTCTCTTATATTGCAGCTTAATCAGTCGGAAAGAAGAAAACACACTGCAGACTATTGCCAGGTTTGTGCTTTGATATTCCTACGAAGCCAAACACCACAGATTAACTACAAGATTTCACTGTTCAACACAGCGCAAGATCACACACATGACACTGAGGATCCTTCACCACAAGGCAGTCACCAGTTTGAAATTTACTAAAATGGGCCTCCTTAATGAACACTTGTTTTTCACTTAGTTCTTCTAACGATGGTTTAAGAAACATTTTTGCTGCTTTGAGAACACTCAGAGCACTTGCTAATAAATCAATCAATCAATTTCACAACTGCAGTGCCAAAAATAGCCATAAGAAAAAAATGTAAATACAAAATGTCGCCATGAGAAATACATCCATCATAAATATTAAGACACCATTCGGCAGTCTGACAAAGCGCTATGAGGCTGGGAGGGCAGGAGGTTTTGGCAGATTCACAGCAGAGGCGAGATGGAGGAAGACAGAGGGAGGGGAGTAAAGCACAATGAATCAACCAGCCGTCAGTCACCGATGAAGTGTTTGCAGTTCACGTGTTCTCCTCACCACCGCACGACCTGGCTGCCATAGTCCTCTGTGGTGGCTACCTCCTCTAGCACCTTCACCTTCACCTCCTCCTCTTCCACCTCCTCTGCTCCTCCTCCTCCTATTCCCAGTCTCCAGAGTTCAGCCAAATAGGTCCTGTGCAGCCGCTGTCTCTGCTGCCTCTCCTGCCGTCTCCTGAGCCGCTCCTCCTGGTGTTGCCTCTGGCGGTTATACTGGTAGCGCCGCAGGAACAGCTCCTTGGCATACT